TCAATGTGTAGTGTTCGCGAAAATATAAGAAATCATTATCAAAAACTATGGACGTCATTATGGTATAATCTCGTACAATTACATTTCCTATACAAGAATTTACTCCAAAGTTTTTACATATACAAATTACACAGGGGTACATCCAGACCGGGATCAGTTATTTGGATGCAAAGAAATGCCGTATCTCATCCCAATCTGCTGACTTGTATATGATATTGACACTAAGAAACAGTCGCGCCGCAACCGGCTCTCATGCGCAATGCATCTGTCCAGACCCATTCTCTCAAAGAAATGGGTTTCACCTAACATCGTACCCGGCCGGGCCTCTCATTAGAAGAGAACCAACCTACCACCAGTATATGGTGCTGCTCGTATAGCACTACCCAGTGGTTAGATGTAGGGAGTCAGGGTTCAAGTAACTTACGGATACGAGCAGCTTCATCCTCCATAATAACATAAACACTCACGCCTGTCACCCAGAGGGGTAGGCAGAGACTACAGACTTCCATTTGGCACGATCCCGACACACCTCTCTTGCCTCCTTCACATCCATACACCTACGCATACATGCTCGTCGGTTAAGGGTACTCCTAATTTGGCCCGTTTTCAATAAATCGCCAATTTGGTCGATAAATTTTCGCCTAGGACGTCCCTTTCCGACTCTGCCATTTAATTCTGCACCATAAATTTTCTTTGTCACTCTTTCCTCATTCATTCTTTCCACATGACCAAACCACCGAAGCATTCCTTTCTTAATCCTGGTCACAACATCATCTTGCAAACCACACTCTTCTCTTATTACACAATTTCTTACCCTGTCATTCAGATTCAGCCCTAACATACTCCTTAACGACTGCATTTCTACTGCGTTTATTCTACTCTCGTGCTTCTTCTGCCACACCCAACTTTCACTACCATACGTTAAAGTAGGGACCAACACAGCATTGTGAATTGCCATACGTGCCTTTTTCGACACATTTTGACTCTTCACAATAGAGTGCAAGGCCCCATTTACTCTATTTTAATATATTAAATTCTTTGTTATAATATAACAAAGAATTTAATATATTAAAAGTTTTGGTTAGATCCACATGTGTTTTTATCTTTCTGTATAGAATTTAAATACGTATGATTTTAAATAAAAGCTTTATGTCACTTACTGGATTTGGATATAGGACGAGGACTGGTTAAGTGCGGTATTCGAATCTGAGGGCCTGCAGTGTCGCAACCAAGCGCTTAACCACTTCTTTACCGAACGCATTGTTCAAATATTCTGCCATTCATTCAATTTGGATCAGCTGATACTCGACCTCGTTCTTTATTTACCTTTACAGCACTTAACCTACATTTCTGGGGTTCGCGCACACCCGCATAGAAAGAAATAAACAAATTATTACCTAATTAAAAAAAGACTCAAGTATCTATATTATTTCATAACTAGGGCACCGTCGCAGCTTTGTCTGAATGTGATTTATTATTATAGTCATATTTAGATTAAAGACAATCAAAGATCAATTATTTTATAAATTTTTCGCTTTTACAAAAAAAAATTATTGGCGTTCTACTTTTGATTGCAGATTAATTGTAAAACAGAGGGTACAGTCCGCCAAAATATTCCATTGAGGCGAACTCTATCATAGCCACTTAAATGTTACTTTTGTATTTTTTCCTCAGATGAAGATTTTTTCTTACAAAATAACGTTGCTTAACGAGCACCCAGTTACCTTATTGGTAAGTAGATTCTGTGACTCAATAGACATCGACATTTATCTTCGATTAACCCTTCAAGCGCCATAAAAATCCCTTGCAAGCGCATGCGCACGGCAAATCCCGAGCGGTCGCATGCGAACGCACCCACCCACAGCACTTAAAACCATTAACACTTATATTTAGAGACTACTTTTCTATGAAGAAGTTTAGTTTATCTTGTGGTCTAAACAAAAGTCGGATTTTACTTCATTACAAAAATATTTTATTGTATTTTGATAACAAAAAAAAAACATACCAAGCGAGTGTCGGCAGCGTGAAAATCACAATTATTTCAGTATAATATATTACTCGAAATTATTTACTTATGTAAAAAGATAAATTATATTAACACAAAAATTTTCATAACAATTTTATAATCAAACACTAGAAAAATCCAAAAATCAACACAATAACATTTACGCTATAGAGTATTTCATATTGATTATATAATGCCAAACTTCTTCATAGAAAAGTAGTCTCTATACATAAATTTTATGGGTTAAAGTGCTGTGGGTGGGTGCGACCTCATAAGACCGCTAGGGATTTGACGAAATATGGCCGCGGTCTCATAGGACCGCTAGGGGGTTGAGAGGTTAAATACAAAATTCAGATGCGTTGACACCCCTGAGGACTAAGGTAGAATGCCTCGTCGCCAGTAAAAACGGTTTCCGGTACTCTACACTCACCATACGAAACACGGCAGTGTTAAGCTGCTATTTTACACGGTGGTATTCTGTGAAAGCGTGGTCCTCCCCCGGTCGAGCCGACCCATTCGTGCTACAACTAAAATACCTGCAGCTGCTCGTTTTAACTTTATTTATATTTACAATGAAAGAACTTTTATGTTATTTTACTGTAAATAATTTTTACCCGCTTAGGCTGTTTTTTATTTTCGTTTTGAACGTTCGAATTAAATGAAGAAGGCTTAGCGATAATGGAAGCTCGAATATGAAGGGATAAAGGGAATAAATAAGCAGGAATATCCGCTAGTGATATATTTTCTGTTACAAAATAAACGAAACGATATATTTTTTATTTTAGCGGTATAACGTACTTGTCACGCATAAAAATTATGCTCTTTTGGATCACTCGTAAATATTTTTTCAATTGAGTAATGTATATTACATTTATATTCCTTATTTGTTGTCAGACAACCCACTACTGGCTACAGACCAAAGTTATTGTCATCATCATTTTCATCACCATACAGGCAGGTGAGGGTTATCCATCCATCTATACATTGCAGCCTATAAAAGTCCACTGCTGAAAGTAGGCCTCCCCCCATAGATTGCCTCATAGGGGATATACTTGCCATAGTTGTAATGTTGCTGTTGATTTAATAATTTCACCTCTCAGTGGATCATGTGCTCCTGGTAGATTATCTTCTATACAACCATCCATTACAGTCCATAAAAGTCCACTGCTGAACGTAGGCCTCCCCCCATAGATTGCCTCATGGGGGGGGGGGTTTGCCATAGTTGCAACGCTTGGCAAGTGGGTTTGAAAACCACAGTTTTTAATAATTTTGAGTCATTATCAGGAACACGCTGCTGCCCATCTCCTGGTTTGTTTCCCTCAGGTGAGGGCAATTGGTCTTTATTAATGGAATAAAGGTGTATTCGCTTAATAAAGACCAATTGCCCTCCATCTTCAGCTATATGACTACTCACAACAAAATAGTTACAACAAAACATTAGTTACAACAAAACACAAATCTCCCGTTTGTAAGGGTATTATAGTCCTGATATTTCCCGGGGAGTGTTCAAAGAAAAACCCGAGTGATTTTTCCTGTCCTGATTAATTATTACGTCTAAGAATGGAATTATTTTTATATGTGTTACGCTCAATTATCTCCGTCCCTGAATGTCAACTATAAATTCACCGACACTGTAGTCAAAATTTCTCAAAAAATATAAACAATCAATATTAAAACTTACAACTTTCACTCACTTAATAGTTCAATAGAACAGTTTAAGTGGGTAAAACTACTGGTAATTTTAGTGCGACATAGGCTTCCAGGCTAATTATTGTTTTTCAGGTTCTGGTTTTATTTGTCACTTTATTTAACGCTGCACCTTAGTCTAAGCTTCTATCGCATTTTATATCAGATAAGTTATATACGTGTATTATTCCAGTGATAACAACTTTAATTTGCAATATTAGGAAGTATTATCGTATTATCAAAGTCAAACTTACAAAAATGTTCATCAACGTTTTATAAAAAAAAAATTATACGTTGCTCTCCGTTCAACACGCGGCTGCCAATGACCTAGACTATTTCTTCACAATATTGAAAAACTAGTCTATAACGATCAACGTTTTAAAAAATAAAGTATAGATACAGTCTTTAAACGTTTCTGGCGCTGATCTTCTATTATATCTGAAAAGGATGTGGAGAAATTAATCAGCCACGTAGCCTTAATATGTGCAATGTTTCACTTCACCGCCGAGCACGTACAATCAGCAATAACTAAATATTTATTTATTTAAATATTACAATAAACAACCGATCGGGTATTTTATATATTACTACCTGCACCGGCTTTGCAATGATCTTACAGAATACCAGCGTAAAATAGTAGTTTAACATTGCTGTGTTTGGTATGGTGAATGTTGAGATCCGGAGACCTTTTCTACAAGAAAAAAGGTATTCTATCGTAGTCCACAGGGGTGACAGCGCATCTACATTTTGATTTTGTTAGATGTAAACGTCTATAGGCCACATCGCCTTACCATCAGGTGGACTGTATGCTCGTTGGTCACCGTTCTATATAAAAAAACTTTGATCACTCTTGGCATTGAAACAAAAAAAAACTAAGTGTGCCGTTCAGTTTAAATGGTCTAATGAAGTGATAAATCATTAGTGCATAATTATATAAACAGTGTAATTTAACCCAAGTGAACTAAAATTAGAATAAATATTATAATCTCGCTTATATATATGTGATTTACGAGCCTAATACTATAATTTAAATCAATTGGATGAAGATTGTTGTGTGTTAAACTTAACTACCCACAATTATTACTGGATTGATAGTGTATACTAGTGTCATCTATTAACTATTATAGTAATAGAAACTGGTTAAGTCGATAAAGTAGTATTATCAAGTTCTGAATGATAACAACAATTTCATCAACTGTTTATAAGGATACGTAGCCCAATAGTAAGTTCAGAGCGGTAATACCGGGAAGTCGGAGGTTCAAATCTAACACTTTAAAAAAATTTATAGTCTTTTTTCATTTCTTATAAAATGGCATCAAGGGGTATAAAAATATTATGCAACAAATGTGATAAGGAAATACATCATAAGGAATTTCTTAAATGTTATGTATGCAAATACATTTATGAAATTGAATGCTTAAGTATAACATCCAAACGCTTCTATCTAATGTCTAAAGAACGTAAACTTAAATGGAAGTGCCAAACTTGCTTAGGACAGAATACAGATGTTACAGAAGCTAAAACCCCACAAAAACTAAGCAATGTGACAAAATCATGTTCATTAAAAAAAACTTTGCGTACTGATGAAAACATAACACAGAGAAAGCCAAGAGTGGGTAAACACATTTCAATTGAAGATTTATCAAGTAATGAGATCTTAGAAAACTCCACATTCTTAGATGATAGTTCACAAAGTTTACCTAATTTGACAACCACGGAAAGCTCCCTGATTAATGATCTAAGGAATGAAATACATGCGCTTTCTACACAACTATCTAGCGCACACAACGAAATAGATTTATTAAATTTGGAAATCACAAAACATCAAAAGAAAATTACTGAACAGCAAAAGAAGCTCGATATATACAAAAAACTTTTGTCAAATGGAGAAGTATCTTCACGAAGGTCAACACCGTTGAAGTTAGATAAAATTACACCGATAAAATTAGATAAAATTATATCCAAATCACAGGATACGAATAGTAAAACCAAAGTTGAACAAAGTCTAAATACTCATTCGATCACAGGAAAAGACCTAAAACTGCAAGAAACTTGCATAGAAAAAAAGAAAGATGTATGCAATACATCCAATAAAACACTTATGTCCCCTTCACCTTTAGCAACATATACGGAGGCAAAACCTAATAATAAAAAGAATACGATCACAATTCTTGGGGATGAAAATACGTCGGGTTTATCTTCAGCTTTATACAAATCAAGAGAAGGAAAATGGAATAATAAGTATATGCCATTAGCTATAATAAAACCAAACGCTTCTTCATGTGATATTTTAATGCATTGCAACCAACTTGAAGATACAGTAACATTAAGTGACTATGTTATACTGTGTGTTGGGAGCCATGACAAAAATCCGTATAAATTATATTCTAATCTTAGCGTTGCTTTGTATAAACTCCGCAAAACTAATGTTTATTTATTACCTGTACTAAGTAATTTGTATTTAAATGAAAAAATGATAAATAATATGTATAAAATATTGACTCAAAATCACAAAAATTGTAGGCTTATTGACATTGATTACAAATACTGCAATATAAATTCAAAAACCGATTACATAAATTACCTGTGTTATTCTATTAACATGTCTATAGATAGTCACGAGTATGATAAACAATTTATAGTGCAGAAAAGTAGGCTAAATAACTTGGCTAAAAAAATTGTAGATAGAACTTCGTTATTAAACGAACCAAAGAAGGGAACGATACCTTATTATTTCAAAAAACAACTTATAAAAAATCAAAAAGTTCATGAAGTTATTAATTATAAGAAGGGTACCATCGAATATTTCTTCGAAAAAATGAAAATGAAGAATTTGAAGTCAACGGACGGGCCTTTGCAAACTTGTAACGTTAATATAAATAATCCTGTAGCGAACCGCTGCATAGGTTCCTCATCAAGTAATAAAAAAATGCTTTTTCGATAAAAACCAGCCTAATCAGAAACTACTTCTTTTACATCAAAATATTGCTGGAGTTTTAAATAAACAAGATTTGATTGCAGTAAGTTTAAATGAACTAGCTTATAGTAACAAATATATTCAAATCATTTGCTTCACTGAGACCTTTATTAAAGGTGGCGAAGAACCTAATCTTAAGCTGCCAGGTTTTCGGCTGGCATCATTCTACTCCAGACCAAAAGAAAGACGTGGCGGAGTATGCATAGTTGTAAGGAAAGACATAAATTATAATGATTTAATGGTAACGAAAGAATATGAAATGACAAAACATTTTGAATGTTGCGGAATTGAAATTGGTAATTTTAATCTTATAATATTATGCATATATCGTACACCTAATTCAGACATATACATATTTTTCGAAAAATTAAATAAATTATTATTAAAATTATCAAGAGGAAATAAAAAACGAATAATCATAGCAGGAATTTAAATATAGACACTATAAAGTAGAATATCTAAGAAGCTTAAAGATTTATTACTAAATTTTAACTTAACTCAGCACATAACCTCCCCAACCAGAATTAATTCATGTATTGATCACTTAATAAGCAATGTTACTGAAGCAAAAGGTTCTATACATTATTTGGGCCTCTCTGACCACACGGGACAAGTACTGGAGCTTCCTATGAAAATCAGTAAAACAGTAAAATACTGGTTTGAGGTAAAAAGGGACTTTGCGAAAGATAATATAGAAAAGTTCTTGGAATGTATACAATCAATATCTTTTTCTGAAATCTATACTGAACAAGACACCAACAAAGCATTTTCAAGCTTTTATAATATTTACAAACTGTTCTTCGACTTGTGTTTCCCAACCAAATTAATTAAGATTTCGTTAAGAAATAATAAAAGTTATTGGCTTACAAGAGGCATAAAAAAATCTTGCGTAGTAAAAAAGAAAGCTATACTGTAAATATCTGCTTACAGCGGCAAATAAAAGTCTAAATAAATCTAGATATATAAGTTATGCTAAAATTCTTAGGAAATGTATTTTAAAGGCACAAAAAATTCAAAATGAAAAATATATATTAGCATCAAATAATAAAGGTAAAGCTATATGGAATGTCATAAGAACAAATATAACTAATAGACTAACTAATAAAGAAATAGATACCATAAATTACAATGGAAGAACCCTGGTAGAAGGATATGACATTGCAAATGGGTTTAATAATTTTTTTATAGATTCGACAAATAAAGACAAACCAAATATGTCAAATAATTGTATGTGTAAACAATTCCGTCACTCAACTATATTCTTACGACCTACGACTCCTGATGAAGTTAATCAAATTATATTATCTCTTCGAAACACTAAGTCGGTTGGGTATGATGAGTTACCGACAAAAATATTAAAACTAAGTTCTTTAAATATAGCACCAATACTTAGTCATATCATAAACTTATCTTTTACCCAAGGAATTTTTCCTGCAGATCTCAAGTATTCAGTTTTAAAACCCATCTTCAAAAAGGGCAATACTAAAGATATTAATAATTACAGACCTGTTGCAATGGTGCCCATTTTGTCAAAGGTTTTTGAAAAAGCAATACTTAAGAGACTTAATGATTTTATGGAAAAATTTAACATTATTAATAACGCACAAAATGGTTTTGTAAAAAATAAGTCCACAACACTAGCGACCTTTCAACTCGTTAAGCTTATTACAGAATGCGTCAATGACGGTGTACCGGTGGTAGCTCTTTTTTTGGATATGAGTAAAGCATTTGACTTTGTTCATCATGGCATACTTCTCAAAAAACTCGAAAGATACGGAATACGTGGGAAAGCAAATGAATGGTTTAAAAGTTACCTCGGTCAAAGACAGCAATGCACTGAAATAACAATGCTCAAAAACCTTAAAAAGGTGCACATTCGGTCGGAATATCGGTTGAACAAATATGGTGTACCACAAGGAAGTATTCTGGGTCCTATACTCTTCCTAATATATATTAATGAGCTACCAACAATAACTCCTCATAAAACGATTCTTTTCGCTGATGATGCAACAATCATTCTTAAATGCACGAATAAAAAGATTTTTGAACTTGATATCAATAGTACACTAAAACATATAATTGATTGGTTAAATTGTAACAATATGACTGTAAATATAAATAAAACTAAAATAATGCAATTTCATACAACTAGAAGTAAGCAAATTAATTTAAATATAATGTACAATGAAAAAGTGCTACAAGAAGTTGATTATTATAAATTTCTTGGTATCACTATTGACAATAATTGTAATTGGAAAAGGCATGTTCAATCGATATGTGACAAATTAAACAGATTTGTATTTGCACTTCGCCGACTTCGAGAAATAGCATCTGCCAAAGCAGCCTTAAACGCCTATCATGGCTATGTTTCATCGATATTGCAGTACGGACTTCTAATATGGGGCAACTGTTCTGAAATAGAACGCGTATTTAAAATCCAAAAAAAATGCATTCGAGCAATCTGTGGAGCACATTCCATGACATCGTGCAAACCATTATTTAAAGAAATAAAAGTGCTGCCACTCGCATGTATGTATATAAAACAAGCGGCGATTTTTGTCAAACAATTCCCTGAATACTTCCCAAGTAATAACCTTTTAAGAGATAGAAGTTTAAGAGAAAAATCTAATAACAGAATATACTTTCCAAAATGTAAATTGATGCTCTTCCAAAAAAATTCATATATAATGGCGATTAAAATCTTTAACTCCTTACCCGACGAGTTTAAAAAATTTCCCAGTGACAAAGTTAAAAAACCAACTTCATGAATGGCTTTTACTTAATTGTTTCTATACTATTAATTAGTGAGTATCTTGATCACAAAAATCAAAACAAATTACATATTTAAAAACTGTATCCAAAAATGCTTGATTTTTTTTTTGCTTTGGACTTTGATAGTTATAGAATAATTATTAGTTAGTTAATTTTACTGTTTTTACATACGAACATTTTGATATTTGTAAATAAGTTAAATTCATTGAAAAAAAATTGTTATATATAATTAGTCAAAATTTGCACGCCTCGTCAAGGCAGAATGTATAGGAACTTTCATGATTTAATAATACTATTGTAATATCTACCTACATTCTATGCAAATAAATAATTATGAATTATGAATTATGAATTGTTTTCTATCTGTTCGTCAAGTTTCATTTTTTATAGAATAGGGTCGACAAACGAGCACACAGTCCACCTGATGGTAAGTGGATGCTTTAGCCCATAGACATCTACATTTATCTTCAGTTAAAAATCAAAATGAAGATGCGTTGCCAGCCCTAAAGACTGAGATGGAATGCCTCGTTTATAGTAAAAAGGGTCTCCGGTTCTCTATACTCACTATACGAAACACAGCAACATTAAGCTGCTATTTTACGCTGGTATGCTGTGCGAGCGTGGTCCTACCACGGTGGAGCCGATCCATTCGTGCTGCAACCACAATATAGCTGCAGCATGGCTCTACCACGTCAAAATCGTTATGCCAATCCCAAGAATAGACCGGACACACGGACAGACAAAAATTGTAAAATTATATTCATGTCTTAATAGCTCTCAAATGACCCCCCCCCTCAGTTACATAAAAGGCAGTTATTTCGATATTACCGACCGAAATTTCAATTTTATTTCTATGTATGTAGATAAAAGGTGACTACCAAACTAGTTTCGTTTAAAGATTAATAAAGTGGTCTATCAAGAGCGAGGGCATAATTCCGAGGGCACTCGGATTATGTCACCACGATATGGGATTTTAAGTACCCAATAAACGAATGCTAGAGGCCTGATTAATGGTCGGCCGGCTCTAGATTGTCCATGGAATGTAATAAACTTATATATATATACTTGTATATCTAACCAACTTATTAGTGGATCGGTGCGTTAGCTGGTTTGCAAACGTACGAGGAAAAATACTTTTGTTTTTGCTTATCCTCCACCACACTACTCAGCGATCAGTGTACCCTGCTTTTTATCGTATGGTTTTGAATTCGAATGCAAATACAAATTATGATTTTATCTTTTTTAATTTAAAAAATGCACATGAATTACACCCACACTCGAAACAAGACATAAAAAATACAAAACGTATCACTAAATTTTTCACTCGATATGGGGCACTGTAAATATTGCGCTCTATGTTTTAATGTTTATTATTATTAAATATCATATAATATACAAAGTTATTTTTCAAAGAGTAGCCGAATTTTAAACTTAAGTTCAAATATATAAATAATACTATACCGTTATTGCAGTTTTTGAAAATACGAGTAAATAAAGCTTCTACTTTTATTTGAAATTATTCCAAATTGAATGTGATTTATGGGCAACAAGGTTTTTGCCTACCGATTTACCCTTATAAATGTGTGCGTGCTCAGTAAAATCAGTTAAAATAATGCATTACCAAGCATTTGGAATTTAAAAGATGAAATGAAAAGGATATTTGAGATTTTTTTATCAATATTTCTTCGCCGTTTTTTTTTT